GGCCCAGGAATGCAGAACGAGCTGCCTAGCTTAATCTAGAACATTCAGAGGGGTGATGTCAGAGAGAAAGCACAGTTGGAAAACTACTTTTGCTTTCCCTACCTACAGCAAAGATTCTTGGATTGGTAAGGAGGGACTAAAAATGGCATACTCAAGACAAAAAGGAAGAGGTGTTAAGGTGAGGTGAGGTAGTCCAGCCACCAGGCCCAGATGAACTCTCTCCACCGAGATCTAGTGGCAAATGTGAGCCCTCATCAATGATCTTGAAAGACCATGACAAATGGGAGCGATGCCACAGAACTGGAAAGGAGAAAATGTTGTTCTAATTTTTTAAAAAAGGGAGACAATAGAGTCTGCTGATTACAGGTGAAGGAGCTTGATGTTGAGTCCTGGAACAAATTTTGCAATGTCTTAGTAGAGAAAAGGCTAGTGACTATGGAGGCAGTGTTCAGAATCATCAAGGCTTTACCAAGAACAGTTCATTTCAGACTCACCTGTGTTTTTACAGAGTTTCTAGCCTGGGAGATCAATAGGATGGTATACTTGCCCTAGATTTTTATCAAAACATTTGATAAAGTCTATCATGTGAGGTAGGTCAATGTGGCCTCTATGGGACATCTGTGGGAGACCAAGAAAAGAAAGTTCTTGCCACCAAGGTCCTTGGCATTGTCAAATGGTTCAACAGCAGAAATGGATATGTTTTTATCAATAAAAATTACACTAAATAAGCGGTGTTTGTACATCAACCTTATCCCTACCACACCCTCCACTTACACACAAGACAAATTGGATTACTTGCCACCAGAATCACTAGGTCTTCCTATCTGCCCAAATGCTTTACCCTAAGGACACTAGGTCTTTCCGTCTGCCTTGAAACTGAGCCCTCCTATATGTGTTGCCTTTCCTAGTAGACAGTGAGTTCTTTTTGATTGGGGACTCTCTTGCTTTTCTATTGGCATCCCCAGCATATATTATAGTGCTTTGCAAGTAGTAAGCATTTAAGAAGTGCCTTTTCATTCATCCATTCATTCACACAGGTAATCACACAATTAGGTGAACTGGAGATTTGTTGAATAGCTAGACTAAAAGAAGAACCATTAATGTCTCAGTGTCAACTTCAAAGGAGGTCTCTGTGATCTGTAGTTGTACCCTTTCTTTTTTTAACATTTTAATTAATGATTTGGATAAAGGCATAGATGCCATTCTTACCAAATTTACAGGAGACACTGTGAGAGATAACCAGTATGTTGGATGACAGGTAAGATCCAAAGGTATCTGTACATGTGAGAATGTTGGGCTTCATCTAAGAGAATGTAATTTGATCTCGATAAATGTCAAGTCTTACAAAAACCAACTTCACAAGTATATGGGAGGCTGGACACGTGGCTAGAGAGCAATTGGTCTAAAGAAAGATCACCAGATTCGACAGGATGATGGGGAGCCCCAAAGGTGAGTCACAGGATAGGAGTCCAAGGAGATGATCACTCTTTTGGACTCTGCTCTGGTCAGATCACATCTGAAGCATTATGTTCATTCCAGATGCTACATTTCAGGATGGACACTGATAAGCTGGAGAGCTTCTAGAAGATGGTGAAGGGTCTCCAGGCACCAAGGTGACACCATGGATAGATAGAGCACTGGACTTGGAGTCAGAAAGACATGAGTTCAAATCTGGCCTCAGACACTTAACTAGTTGTGTGACCCTGTGCAAGTCACTTAACTCCGTTTGCCTCAGTTCCTCATCTATAAATTGGTTGGAAAAGGAAATGGGAAACCACTTCAGTATCTTTGCCAAGAAAACTCTAAATGGAGTCACAGAGAGTCAGACACGACTGAAACTAGCAAACAGCAACAACAAAAAACAGGGTAATGGGCTACCTCTGGAAGAAGTGGTCTCTCCTTCACTGGGGGGTCATCCATCACAGACTAGCTGACTACTGGCCAGGGATGCTATCACTGGAAGTCTTGTGTAAATGTGAGTCAGGCAAGAGATCCACCCGCATCCCCTTGAGCTTCTGTAAATCCCAAATCAGCACAAAGCTGTTTGAGTCCATGAAAGGGGGAGGCCAGGAAAGGGGATTGGGGGGGGGGGTGAAGACATATAAAGATTGAGATAATGGTGGGAAATTCCAAAGATTAGTTTAGAAATCTTACTTTTTATTAGCAGTTTTCTTCTACAAATATTTCTGAATTTGTATATTCTTTTATGATGAAGACCCTTAGGAAACTCTCACGGTTTGGAGTGTGTAGTCGCAGAGTTAAGAAGGGAAATAGTGAGCAGGGACTAGAATCACGAATCCAGATTTGGCTGCAGAAGAAGAAGGGGACAGCTAACCAGGGATTTGCTCTCAGAAGTCGCAGGATCCAAAAAAGTCAGGGATTTCAGGTTGTGAAATCAGAGAAGGGAAGAGAACAGGGGCTAAAGGCAGAATCTTGGAAAGATGTCAACGTTTAAGGAAAAGGAGGAACAACAGAAGCAAGCGAAGGGCAGAGGGAAGGAGGGGTCAAAGGAGACGCTAAAGGGGGCAAGATAGAACCATGAAATCCAAGTGACGGAGGCGAAGTTCGGGCAGTGCAACGAGAAGGCGGTGTTCTCAATGGAGCCAGATGTTCAGAAAGAAAAGAGCAGGAGCACTGGAAAGGCCCCTGGGCAGGGCAACTGCGGAATCACTCGGAACCTCCAAGAGGGAGATTTCAGTAGAGTGGAGGGAACAGAAACCAGCGGGCAAGATGTTAAGTATCAGTGCCTCCCAAACCCTCACCGTATTTCAATTACACCTAATTCTTTTCTTCTTGCTTCCACCAGGTCTACCTATGACTTCTTAAATTTCACTGTGTGCTTTGAAATCTCTGTTCTGTGGTCATACTCTTAAACTTTCCAACCAACATTCCTTCTACCTCCTTGATTTATCAGGAATCTGAGGACACAGTATCCACTCTAGTCATCTCAACTGGCAGACACTTCTCTCACGCCTCTGGGTTCACAGAAACACACAGAGGGGGTGAGAGGATAGTCTGAGCTCCCTACTCTTCCTTCTAAGTCGTTCTTTTACCACCATCTCTCAATTACTTTCCTTTGTTCAGGTTCATACATGGCATGTCACTTATCGACTTCTAGGGAACTCTCCTAATTTTTTCAATGGTTTTAGTACCTGTCATAAGTCCTTCCTCTCCACCCCATCCCTAGCCATTATCCTCGGGGATTTTGATACACATGGTGACATCTCCTCTCACAACCTGACCACACAGTTCCTCGACCTCCCTCCCTACAGTAACATCCTACATCAGACACACGGCAGAATGGCCACACCTTGGACCTCACAATCTCTCAGAACTACACCAAGATTTGGAATGCTGGCATTCTGTTCTGACCACCGTCACTCACCCTTCCACTTCTGCCACTTTCTTGTTCAATCTGCACTAACTTATCACCCCTCTTCTGGCTTTCAGCCCTTGCCCATCCCCATTTTTATAATTATCTCCTCCCCTCTAGCTTCACTGCTCTTCAAGAGTTCAGTTCAAGAGCCTCCTACACCAGCTCCTCCCAGTTTACTTCCTTCACCTCCACTCCCCATACCCCACCATTGCCTTGTGTTCATCTCGTATCCACTGACATGTGTCCATGCTGTCTCTTCGGACAAACTGTAAGCTCCTTGAAGGAAGACACTCGCGTTAGAGCCTTGCCCAGCGCTCCTCCTTTGAAGGATCACTGACCGACAAACTGCCTCCAGGTCCGGCCCTGCCTACCTTGCTTGCCACCTTCATGTTTTAATAAAGACCAGCCTAGAACCCCTTACCCTACCGACTTTCTGTACTTCCTGACCTGTAAATCCTTAATCTATGGGTCACTTCAACTCTTGGATTTCTCTACTCTTGCTCCAAAGAGACCTGGAACTGAACTGATTTGACCCATTCATGGTACAGAAGTTCAGCTGAGCCTCACTGCTCTTTGGCAATCCTGTCTTACATTGGCAAAACAATTCACCAACAAGGCTTTTCCCTTTTCTTCTTGCCTCCAGCAGGAACAGAGAGAACAGCAACGATTAGCCATCCAAATGCTTATCTCCATACCCATACTGAATCTATATGAGAGACTTCCAGTAAAAGAGATGATGTAGAGGATATTTCCAATTCTGGTTCTCTTTCATCTCCTCGAACAATAAGGAATGTGGCCCCTATGTAAAAGAAAAATAGTAACAAAAGCAAAGAGGGGAAAGGCAATAATACATCGCATGGGAAATCTCATTAGAAAGAAAGGAAGGCTGAGATGAGTACAGAATGGAAAAAGGAGTTTCAATACAATGAATTAATGCTATGGAGTAAAAGAAAGCAGTGTGAAAACCCTAGATGTGGGAGTACATACTTCACCAACAATAATGTGATCTTTGCCTCTATGAATGGTAGATCAACCGCCCGAATCTCCAGAGTTGTTAAAGACAATCAATAAAAAGAACTAAAGGAAGACATCGGAATGGCAGTATGGACAGAAATCAGAAAATTTTAACAAACAAGAGAACAAATAATTTAACAACAGACGGATAACATTTCTAAAGTAATGGATGATCTGAATGAGAATGGTAGGTCTGCAACTTTAAAAATTCAGAGATGGAAGAAATACTATTAAAACAAAAGCAAAGGCCAAGTCCACTAATTGTGGGCATTTCCCATAGCTCTCTCCTGGGCCTTCCCCTCCCTCTCCATATTTCACCTGTTGATCTCTCCAACTCCCATGGATGTGATTGGTTTCTCTATACTGATGATTCTCAACTTTAATTATCCAGTCCGGATCTCTTTCCTAACCTCTAGTCTTACATCTCTAACTACCCCTTAAACATCTCAAACCCAAGATGCCCAACACAGAACACATTATCTCCCCCCCCCTAATTTACCACTACCCTCCCTGTTGACCAGGCTCACACCCTCAGGGTCCTCTTCCTTCTCTCTCATGCCCACATCCAATCTGTTGCCAAGGCCTGCCAATTTTACCTTTGTGACATCTCTCACCTAGGTCCCTTTCTCTCCTCTGTATTGCCACCCCCATGAGTTCAGGCCCTCATCACCTAATCCTCAGAGTATTACCATAACCTGTTCGTTGATCCACCTATCTCAAGTCTCTCTCCAATCTGGTCCATTCTCTACTCAGTTGTCACGGTGATCTTTCTTAAGCACGAGTCTGACCACATCACCTTCCCACTCAAACTCCACTGGCTGCCAATCTTCTGCAGGATCAAACAAGGATAAAATCTTCTGTTTGGCATCCAAAGCCCTTCGTGACCTGGCCTCCCCTCCCCCTCTACCTTTCGAGGCTCTTAAACCACATACTCTTCCATCCAGTTACACCTGCATCTTTGATGTTCCACAAACAAGATTCTCCATATCTCAGCTCCAACCATTTACCCTGGCTGTCCCCCATGCTTGGAAGACTCTCCCTCCTGGCTTCCCTGACTTCATTCAAATTCCAGCTAAAATCCCACTTTCCAGTGGATACCTTTCCCCAATCCCTCTTAATTCTTATGCCTTCTCTCTGTTGATTATTTCCTACCCACCCCATATGTAGCTTACTCGTACACAGTCATAGGCACGTCGCCTCCCCCATTAGATGTGAGCTGGTGGAGGGCAAGGACTGTCTTTTGACTTTCTTTGTATTCCTGGGACTTGGCACAGTACCTGGAATACAGCAGGTGATTAACAAATGTTTACTGACTGACTGCCAGTGACAGGTAATTGCAATTTTTGGACAAAGTGCATGTTGATCTACGCACCAAAGGAGAAAGTAAAAGGTTTGAGGAGTGCCTCTCTACTCTGCAGGTTATCACAGAGAACGAAATTCTCCTAGAAAGACAGGGAGAAGCAATTTAAGGAGAAAATAGAGAAAAATAATGTGAAGAGAAGCAGGAATACCAACCTATGGGAGACTGGAGGGTAGAAGACTGACACAGATAAGGAGGAAAGACAGACCATAAAATGTTCGTTGATGTAATAAGTACTAGCATCTTTAAAAATTATTGATTTCAAAAAGGGAAAGAAAAGGATCTATTTGCACAAAAATATTTATAGCAGCTCCTTTTGTGGTGGCAGAGAATCGGAAGCTGAGGGACTGCCCATCAATTGGGAATGACTGAACAAGTTGTATACGATATGTATATGACTATAATGGAATATCACTGTGTTATAAGAAATGACGAGCAGGTGGATTTCAGAAAAACCTTGAAAAGACTTACATGAACTGATGCAAAGTGAAGTGAGCAGAACCAGAACATTATACATAGTAACAGCCACGTTGTTCAGTGAAGACCAGTGTATGACTTAGCTATTCTCAGTGATACAATGATCCAAGACAATCCAAAAGGACTCATCATGAAGCATACTATGCACCTTTAGAGAACTGGTATTGTTTGAACACAGATTGAAGCACGCTAGTTTTCTCTTTGTTTCCTTGTTTCTTTCTTTCTTGTTTGAGTCTTCTTGTACAAGATGCCTAATATGGAAACATTTCACATGAATTGCACAGGTATAACTTATATTGGATTGCTTACCATTTTAGGGAGGGTAGGGGGGAGACAGAGTGAGGGACAGAATTTGGAACTCAGAGCTTTAAAAATTGTTCTAAGATGTAATTGGGAAAAAACAAAATTTATTTTAAAAAGTATTGATTTCATTTAATTTCTATCCCCTACACTTCCCATTAGATCCACACACTCTCACCCCAGAACTATCCCTCATAACAAAGAATAAAAAAGAAAAAAAAGAGTTCAGCAAATATAGCCAACACACGGCAAAGGTCAGAGATGATCCGCAGTATTTGATACCATAGTGTAAATGAGGGTTCTTGATCCTCTAAGGAGGAGGCTACTTATGGTATCGTAGGGAAGTATGACGCACTAGTGTCAGCAGGAAAAAGATGTTTATGCACAAACACAGATGATAATAGGGAGTAGGTACGGAGGAGACAGGGAATAGGGAGTTAAGCGTCTGCTATGTGCCAGGCACTTTGCTAAGCACTTAAAAAGAACTTTTTTAAACAAATATTATCTCATTTTGTCCTCACAACAAAAGTAAATGCTATTATCGTCCCCTTTTTACAGCGGAGGAAACTGAGGCTGATGAAAGTGAACAGACTGGCCCAGGGTCACCCAGCTAAGTCAGTGTCTGAGGCTGGATTTGAACTCAGGGCTTCCTGACTCCAGGCCTGGGGCTCTGTGCCCTGTGCCCCCAGCTGCTTCAGTAGCAGACTGTACCTGGAGTCCTAAAGACATCAATTGGATTTGCAGTGTGTCCTTTTTGATCTGCTTAGAAAGAGAGGAGCAGTTTCTAGACAGAAGGCATGGACGGTTCTGGTCAGACCACATATGGAGTATGGCACTCAGTTCTGGGCAGCACATTTTAGGAAGGACAAAGACAGGATGGCAAATGGCCTCAAGCTCATACCAGATAAAGGAAGAGCTGAAGGAAATGGGCACAGTTATCTTGGTGAAGAGAAGACTCAGGGCGGGAGGGGATGAAAGCTATCTTCCCATATTTGAAGGGCCATCATGTGGAAGAGGGAGGGTCTGGCCCCAGAGCAGACCTCAGAGAGTTGGGCAGAAGCAGTAAAGAAGGAAATGAAGGCTGGAGGTGAGGGACAGGCTTCCTAACATTGAGAACAGCCCAGAAGCGGACAGGGACTTTTCCCCTCTCCGAGGTCCTCAGGCAGAGGCTGGCCATCTGGGAGGAGGAGCATCCATGAGGGGAGATATGTGGAGTATGGCATGTCCTAGATGGCTGCTGAGGTCCCAACCAGCTCTGAAATTCTGTGACTTAGTTAAGGCACTTTTCTCTGTATGTCATCTCAAGCTGAAAATACTTCTGTTTGTTAACATTTTGGAGATTCATTGCTAACAATGAAAAGCTTGCTAAAGGTATTTTCTTACTTGAGCTAAATTTTACTAAATTAAACAGCTTTATCCTAGATGGAAACTCAAACATATAATTCTATCTGTAATCACCCCTCCCTCCATTCCTGTTAGCTGTATAGATCTAGGATCAGGAAAAGGATTAGAAATGAGAAGCATTTCCAATGCAAGGCAGACAGTGGGGGAGTGCAGAATTAATAGAGACCCAAGTGTGTTGGCCACATTCCAAGGGCTGGTTTAGCCCTGAGGTAGAGACTGTCCTTCTCCTGCTGAAGCCTCCTCCTTTTCCTGCCACATGTCTATTCCCACCTGGAGCCCTTGTCCTTGCTGAGTCCACTTTTTAAAGCTAGTGGCATATGCTTGCCAAAATCTACCTGTACAATCCACATGGGCTGAATGCATTAGGCCAGCAAGGTAACTGTGCCTACAAGGTGTTCTTGCCTTCCCCAAAGGCCACTCTGCTTTTCTCAAATGGACGAGTTCCCCAGCTGCCACCCATAACATGGCGGATACACCAGGTACACCATAGCACCTGCAGCAATCAGACCTTAAGTTTTCTACTCGCCAGCTGAGCGAGGCCTCCTGGGTCTGCACTACACTGGCTATGTTCCGCCCTAAAGGAAATGGGCCAATAAAGCAGTAAATACAGAAGTTTGCTCTAACCTGACCCTGCTCCATTCCAGGCCACCTTCAAAGGGCATTCTGAAGGTCACTGCTGTGGCCACCACAAAGGAGGCAGGGACAGGAGAACTCCTGTCCTGATGGGGTGTGTGTGTGTGCTGCCAAAAAACCCCAAAGGAGGTGGCAGAAGTGTAAGAGAAATGAAACAGGTAAGGTAGAAAGATTATATGTGCAGTGAGGCTATCTAACCATCCCCCAGGCAGAGGGACACTGGGGAGGCACAAGGCTATCAGTGACACTGTCTCTGCAGAGCTAAACTTGTTAAAGGACTTACTGGGCAATAGTGATGCAGGACTCAAAGGTGGATTTCCAAGGTGGAAAAGTGTGAGACACAGGCCTGTAGACACAGGGCATTCCACCTTTTACCCAGCTGCCTCTGGGAAGAAACTTGCTGTTCAAATGACCACAGACCCGAGCTGGAACGAGCAGTGTTTGCCACTGCTGGGATGAGCAAATCCCTGTCCAGCTAGCCAACGAGTAAACACATTCTGAAATGCTGGTGCCAGCATCCCGCTGGACTGTTTGTCCATGAGGTTGCTACAATGAGAATAACCCCTTGTGAAGAATGTTTTGATTGATGGCATGCCACGAAGGAGAGAATGGCCAGTAAGGTGGGGTATAAGACACAAAGATTTGAAGAGTGGACCCCTTTGTAACTCAAGACAGTGATGACTGCAGTAGATAGTTGACAAGACGCCCTTTGGAGCCTGACAGCGGGGCACTGGACAGTTTGACTAACGTCCATGGGGATCCCTGTAATGACAAAGGTCAGGACAAGAAAAGCTCTCCAGTTTCTGGCAACCCTGCTCTGATTCTTGCCAGACTATCTGTTCCTTTGTCCTCACCTCTCCCCCTCAACTTTGGGCCTCAGTTAAGGATGATGATAAGTAGACACTTCATCCCATTTCTTCGAAATAAAGTGGGCTCAGATGACAACAGCAAAAACACCGTCACTGCAATCCAAAACACTGATTTTGCCCCCACTAACTGCAGGCGTTCTGATGGAAAAACATGTGGTGGGCACTCCTTTGATGCAGCACATTGCCTGGGACGATTCATGAGCAAGTCATCATTCAAGAGCTTACCTTTGTAGGGAAGTTTTCTACTCGTCAACACTTCACCATTTAATGCTCATGATGCCAAGCAGCCCAGGTGAGGGAGGTCACGGAGCCCTATGGGAAAAAAAAAAGACACCACCTGAATTCTAATTCCTGTTCTGCTATCAAGCACCTGTGTGACTTCGGGCACATCACTTCACCTCTGCAGCTTGTTTTTGTAAAATGAGGCGTCTTGCATCAAAGAGGTACTTAACAAATGGTTGTTGAATTGGTTTAAATTCCCTTCACTCTCCCATCTTATGGGTTTGTACAGATGGGGTAAGCATCCCCAGCATATTGCTGGGACTCAAATATTTGTTGCATGAATGAATGAATGAATAAATAAATCCTTAGTGGCCTTTTTTAAGGTTAGTGACTGAAAACTATGAGAACCTTTTTTGAGGAGTGGAGTGGAGTGGGGTTGGGCAGTTCCATTCCAGGTATTTTTATCAGGAGTAGCTTTTTTGGGGGAGTCTGTTTTTCCCCAACTAACCACAGAAAAGGCCCAGACACCGGCTGTTACCTTCCTTGCTGTGGAATGTAACAGAGACAATTCTGAGTCTTAAAAACTGCCAACCTCCACCAAAGTCCTCTATAAACGCCTCCTATTGGCGCCTCCGAGGAGGTGATCGCTGTCCCAGCTCTGACAGGTCCAACAGAGCTGGACAGGCTCCACGTCCGTGCGAGCAGGGGTGGCTCCCTTCTTCCCTTACCCGGGGCCGTAGCATACAGCAGGCCATTAATAAATGTTGGGCTAAATTTGGCCAGGTTCGTTCCCAGAGGTAAGCCGTTGCTGCGGCCACGAGAACTCAGGGCCCCAGTTTATCTGACCCAGGGCTGAAGGAGGTGCCCGGGGACCCCAAAGGTCTGAGCCGGTCGTATCTGCACACAGCCGGGGCTTAACCTTTTCGCGCTGATCCAGGGCAGATGTGGTATTCAGCAGGCGCTTCACAAGGTTCAGATCTGCATCCCAAGGGGCTCAGGCACAGGAAGCTGAAGACTCGTGTAAAGGCGGACGGTTGGGCGGGGGCCTTGGAAAAGGCGGGGCCTGGACGAGGTCCTGGGTTCCAATCCTGCCCCTCCTACCTCTCTGCGCCTCAGTTTCCTGCACCTACAAGAGGTGCACCTATGAGCACGTTACACTGGAAGTTCTCTGAGGGCAGGGGCTCTGATTGCCTCCTCAAGCACAGGAGCACGCGTCTGGCTACATGCAGTTTGGGGTGGGGCTAGGGGACTCGGCTCGGAGCCCCCCCAACTTTCTTCCCACTTGGGGCCTCAGTTGGCCTACCACGCCCCAGGTACGCAGGCGCGTACCTCCCTGGGAGAAGGCCGCCACGGGGTTAGGGGTCAGGGGGCGGGGCGAGGCGCCGGGTTTGCGCTCGGCAGAGCCACCATGGCTCGCGTGTTGGTCGTGGGCGCGGGGCTCACGGGCGGCCTGTGCGCGGCGCTGCTGAAGCGGGGACGTCCCGTGAGCGTGGCGGTGTGGGAGCAGGCGCGCGACTCAGGTGTGTGCGTGAGGTCTGCATCCCGGAGCTCCCTCCTCCAGCACCCGCGGAGCTCTGAGCGCATGCGCAGCCATGAGCTCATCGTTTAGAGGGCGCGTGCCCAGCTAGGGAGGGGGGAGGATGCGCATGCGCGTCGGGACACCGCCTCCGCGGTCCCGGATCATCGGGCCCCGCCCCCTCTCTTACACCCTCCCCAGCTTTTATTCCGCTGGGCCCGTGACGTCATCCTCAGGAAGCTTTTTCTGGGCACATGCTGACCTGGGACCGGCCGGCAGCATCTGTCCCCATTGGCTCCTGCTTTGGGGGCGGGGCTTGTGCAACACTAGGGCCCCAGACCTCGATGTGCATTGGGGGAAACTGAGTCCGGGGTGCGGGGCGCGTCACATAAGTAGTAACTGGTATCTTGGGTTTTGTGGAAGGGATCTTGGAGGTCATCGAGTCCAAGCTGCGCCATTTTATAGGTGGGGAAACTGAGGCCCAGAAAATGGAGACCGTGGGGAATAAGTGTCAGAAGCGGGATTGCAGCCGCTCCCCCCTTTCCCCAGAGCCCCTCATGCTGGTTTGCTCCAAACCCCAATCTTTTGTGCTAAAAGAGCATCGGACGCCTCTGTATCTCCCGCCCTCTGAACCTTGTCTGCTCGTCCTTCCCTCCAGGGGGAAGAATGACCACAGTCCAGAGCCCCTGTGACCCCCAGTGCAGGGCGGACCTGGGGGCTCAGTACGTGACGCGCACCCCCCATTACGCCGGGCAGCACCAGAGGTGAGTGAGCCCCGGAGCCTCGAATGGCAGTTGATTGATAATGGTGGTGCACGCTTGTTTTCAGAGAGACGGTTGTTAAACATTCAGTAGCAGACCCCCGTGTGTGCTCAGGTGCTTTGAGCGCCCACCACTTCCGCTCCTGGGTGCAGCTGGGCCCGTTCTTTTTGGCTTATCTTTGAGGCGTGTGATAAAGAAGTCTAGAAGGGGGTGTTTTAAATTTCCCATCTGTGAATGCGCTTGGGAAAGGGGAGCTGGCGCAGAGACTGCTGATCTCTGCTGGGCATTCCCTCTGCCAGTCCCAGCTGTGAATTAACCCCTAGATACGGGAGGTGCCCGGGAGGAGTGCACCATCTCCTAGCAGAAACCAGGAGCGCTGGCAGGTCCGGAGGGTTGAGCCGCTTTATGCCTCTCTGTGCCTGGGCTGACCTTTCTGTTTTTTCATTCCAGTTTTTATGATGAGCTCCTAACCCAAGGTGTTTTGAAGCCACTCACCTCTCTTATTGAAGGAATGGTAGTGAAAGAAGGGGACTGCAACTTCGTGGCACCTCAAGGCATCTCTTCCATCGTGAAACATTATTTAAAAGAATCAGGTGGTATATCGGGTTCCTTGCCGTCTCCTGGAGGGAGGGATAGAATTTAGAACTCAAAACTGAAAAAAAAAATGAATGTTTAAAATTGTTTTTTACAGGTAATTGGAAAAATGAAAGAGTTTTTTTTTAGGATTACAAAAGAAACCAATTATATTGAAATTGTTACAAAAATAGTTTTAAAAATTCACAGACTCCAGATTTAAGAGCCTTTTGAAAAAGGGAGACACAACATATAAGAGGTTTCAGCTGCAGGTCAGATGGAAAGACCCTTGGGGTCCGTTGGGTGGTGCAGCCAAACAGATGGTAATGAACCTTCGTTAGTTTCACTTCCATTGATAAAACTCATCTGTTTCTGATGTTGAGTCATGTGAGAAGGCCAAGGCCTTTGGTGGTGAGCACTGTTTTTTTCTTGGTCTTGAGTTAACTACGGCTGCCAAAGTGGAAGAGGGAGAGCAGGGAGAGCCATAGGACCTGCAGTGGTGTCCACAGTAAGATCTCATACATCTCCTAGGTGATGTTTGTGAGGGCTGAGCCAGAAACAGCGCTGGTGGGGGGAAAGGAGAAAAGGGGAGTATGCTCTTGGACTGCCTGCCTGTCATGGCAGTTACTGGTTATCAGTTGGGGGGGGAAGATATCATATCCCTTCCTTACAAGAGTTGCCTCCCTTGATGATTGCTAGGGCAATCAGGCCAGAAGAAGTCATGGTCTGGGAGGCTGTGATATTCCCAGGGCTCTCGGGTGCAGGGTTCTGGGCTGTCTCCACTGGGATCTGATGTGAGGTAGTGGGTGGTATGGTAGCTTGCCTTCTCTCTCTTCCTCTAGACTCAGTTTCTTTATCTGTAAAATGAGGGCTTTGTATTAGATGACCTCCAATGTCTAAATTTATGATCCTATGAGCCCCTGGCTGTGTAGATGCTTACTGTTTCTGGTTAGGAACAGATGGTCTCCAGGTACAGATTCTGGTTCTCCCAAGCCCTGGATATAGATTATCGGACTCCCAAAATACTGCAGCTCCTCTTCCAGTAGGTCCGATTCCAGGGCCCTTTGCTAATAATGGTCAAGAACAGTACTTTCCCCCTATTTCCACATGTGCATACACGAGCACAGAGATGAGCATATACACACAACACTACACACACACGCACACATGCGCTCGGATGTCTCGCTCTTTCTTGTTCTACCAGCCTATGCCTGTTTCTGTCCAGAAAGCAAAGATTTTTTTTAAAAAAAGAATTAGGTGGGCTCCAGGTTTTTCCTTAAGAGATTGGCCTCTCAATTACTGAGTAAATCAGCATCATTCCGTGAAGTCTGTGGCGGTGATCGCTGCGCTGGACAGCCCAGGGAAGTTCAGAGGACAGAGGAGAAGCCATTTGTTTCTCTCTCAGTACTGATCTCTGTGAAGGGCCCATTCACTTACTCAGCAGGACCCAGAGACATCAACAAAACAGCCTCTGCCTGTAAGGAGCTTGCCTTCTACTGGGGAAGAGCCATCCCCTTCACAATGGGAATAAAGTCAACGTGGACAGGCAGCAACATGCAACCTCATGACCCTGGTCCAGTGGAAAGATGGATTAGATGGGAAGTCGGGGGACTTGGCCTCAGACTCTACCTTTGCCTCCTCCAGGCACCTCAATTTTCTCCTCTGTAAATGAAGAGGGTTGGACCAGATGGTCTCTGTTTTGCTAGCCTTGTGTCATAGTGACATGGAATCCATTTCTGATGACTCAGTGGTTAAGATTTTAAAGGTAGTGTTAGTGGACAGCTACCAACTGTAGGCTTATTGAAAATCCCCATTTGCGTGGTTTCTTTAGGAACTACCTCGAGGTTTGTTCCTGGACTGATTTCCATATAAACTACTTTGACTGTATTTTTCTTTTTTAATATGAAAATGCTTAGGAATTTTATGGGGAATTGAAAATGTTGAAAAAAAACCATTTACCGTAAATCTTCAAATATTATTTGTAGTTGAGGTGGTAGAAGATCATGGGGTAAAGTCTGGTTTCTCTTAACTTTTCTCAAAATTATGCTCCAGAGTTTTGTGTTTTCTCATGGTGAGTACTTAATCCAAAGGGATTTGAATTGGATTACCTTGATGAGTGATATTTTTCTTTTAGTTGTTTGGAAAATTCTTTTTAATCATTGAATCTTTCTAGTTTGATGACAGTGTTTCTAGGTGAGTGACCATTTCTGTCTGAGGATTCATAGTGAATTTTATTGTTATGTAGCATCTCCTTTTATCTTGCTACTTCTGGGAAATTTTCTTCAGCAACTCCTTAAAAAATGTTGTTCAGTTGTTTTAGACATTCATGACCCCGTTCGGGGCTGTTTTGGCAGAGATGCTGGAGTGGTTTGCCATTTCCTTTCAGCTCATGTTATAGATGAGGAAACCGAGGCAAACAGGGTGAAGTGACTTGCCCAGAGTCACACAGCTAGTCGGTGTCGATGAAGCCAGATTTGAATTCAGGAAGATGAGTCTTCCTGACTCCAGGCCTGGCGCTCTATTCACTGTGCCACCTAGCTGCCCCATCCTTCTTGACCGATCATTTACTGTGAAAATGAAAAAGAGGGAACATGAATTATGTATGTAGTGACTGTGCTCACCAGATTTGAGGCCAGCAGCTTCTGTTCTATCATCTCTTAGCAATTTTCATTCATTCAGGGAAAAGAAAGATGAAATCCCTCCTCTGTACCAGGAGTCGCGTCTCTTTGTGGAGGAGGGAAGCCATCTTTCCTTTACACCCTCTGTGAGTTAACCCGAGTGGCCTTTTTGCTCGTCCTCACACGTAGCTGACCATCTCCAAGCCTTTGCCCTGGCTGGCCCTAGTCCTCAAGTGCTCTCTTACCTCCCCTCATGCTCAAGTTCTCCCTTGTCCTGGAAGCCCCCACCCTGGGTGCCCAGCTGCTGGTGCCCTCCTTGGCTTCATCAAGCCCCTGTGTTCATTTTCTGTGTCCTGATGTGTGCCCATGCTCTCTCCCCCAATGCTATAAGCTCTTTGAGGGTACAAACTGTCTCGCTTTTATCTTTGTCTTCCCAGCCTGGCACCGTGGCTGACATGTAGCCAATGCTCAAATGCTTACTGGCTGATGAATGGCTATTTAACCCCAGGCATCAAGGAATTCGAGTCCCCCAGGGAAGAGCTGCCTGCAGTTTGCTGACACAAGCTGAAGATGTGTAGACAGTGATTTCTTTCCGCTTGCACCTGGGAAGTCAAGCGTCCTTTGCTTTCTTAGATTATCCTGAATGAGCTTGCAGAGGCTTGAAGGGGGTCTTCCCTGCCTAGATCTAGGATCCAGTGACCACCGTGATGTGAAAGAAAGTACATCTTTATCTTTTCTTGAAAATTGGGGAAGGAATGCAGGTAAATAAGTTTAGTAAGAGAATGCCTGCTGTGCCCGTCCTTCTGTGACACCATGTACCATCCCTGTAACTTTCTGGACAAAGGTGCCCTTCTGCCCTCTACACCCCCTATTTTGGATCACATGGCAGCGGGTACTGAGAGCTGATCTCAAAGTCGGTCCTTTTGTCTCTCCCAGAAGATCTGAACCCAGTTTCCTTTGTATTCCAGGGGTGGAAGTCTCATATGGGCACCGTGTAACTGAAATCTACCTTAAAGATGACAAGTGGGAAGTCCACAAGGAAGTGGGAGGCTCTGAGCTGTTCGATATCATCATTCTCACGATGCCTGTTCCCCAAATCCTTCAACTCCAGGGCGACATCAAGAACTGTAAGTCTCTTCTTCCAGAATGTCCTTTGGGATCTTGGCTTCTTCCGGTAGAGCTAAGGGGAGACTGGCCGTCTGGTCTCAGTGCTGGTTTTCATAGACTTGTTTGTGTACCTCAAACATCCCTGCTCCATTTTGCTCTCTCGTGTTTCTGGAGCCAGACGCAGCACAACTGAAGCAGTTCACATTTCTTTCCTTGGCCCCGTTGTCTGTCATGAGTCCATGTTCACAGTCTGTTGCCATGTTCTTGCCTCGGAGATGAGGGGAATTCTCCATGCCCAGAGCCCCTGGCTTGGCCGGGCTGGCACCACTGTGGGCTGGCAAAGGCCGCTCGTGCCGGGCACATCAGGTTGTTGGCTCCCTCCGTGGCAAGCAGTAGCTCCCGTAAAATGAACCTATGTTTTTCAAAGACATTTATTTGTTTTTATGTATATTTGTAATCTGTCCCTCCCACTCTCCCTGTCCGTTAAACACAAGTAAAAACAACCAACCCAGAAAACAAAACAAAACAAAAGCTTCGCCGTAGACGTGCCTCATCCAGGAAGGCCAGTCCCCACATTGTCTCTGGCATTTTAGGTTCCTCCCCGTTAGGCGAGTGGCAGTGAGGAGAGGTCTCCTCTTGAGGCGTAGGGGCCTGCTCTCTGGTGTGTTGGGCTCCTCAGACGGTTCTTCCGCAGGCTGGATGTCATTGTATAAGTGTTTTCCTCGTTCTGCTCCCTGGGCTCTGCATTCACGTCTGAGAGGTTTTCCCAGTTTGGGCTGAAACTGGCCGTGTCTTCACGTCTTGTGGCACAGCCATATTCTGTTACTGTCTTAGATGTCCTTTGGTTAGCAGGATGACTCTTGCTTTCCAGGATTGCCCTCAAGAGTTGCTCCAGAAGTTTTGTACGGAGGGTCCTTTGCTGTTTCTTTGATCTCTTTGGGGTCTTGGTCTGGTTGAGGTAAACCTGGCTTAAGAGATGCACACAGCTGAGTAACTCCAGGGCCATAGTGAACTAACCTGTTGATAACATAAAATACAATAAGCCTTTCCTCAGAAGCAGTGGTCATAGGGGCAGCCTCATGGATGGAGGGGAAGGAGGACCAGAAAGGCAGGAGCCCAGAGGGCTTTGGGCGGAAAGGAAAGGGGCTCTGAAAACCTTTGGCAGAAACTTGAGGCAGGCCCAGCCCCTGCCCAAGGCAGCAGTGCCTCGAGGGACCCTGGGAGAGCCGGGCGTAGGCCATCTGACCTGGGAGCCCCAGGTAGGACCCCATGGTTGGGGATTTGGCTTGGAAAAGAAATGGTGAAAATTACAGAAGAGAAAGAGTGGGCCCAGGGGGTCCTGCAAGCTGGGGGCTCCAGTGGCTCTGCCTGCCTGTCAGAAGCACCTGATATGGAAGTAACGCTACCCTGCCCCTGGCTCCCGGGCTCCAAGGGGGGACTTAGGTAACAGAAGAGACAGTCCATGAGCAGGTGCAGTGAGAGAAGTGCCCTGTGCCACTGGGTGCACAGGAAGTGCTCTAGAAACATCCTGAGTCATCCATGAGAGATCTAGATTGGTTGTAGGGAAGGAAATGGAGGAGAAGCTCTTGGCAATAGGCCCTGCCTCCCTGGACTCTCAGGAGGGTCACTAGCCCTTCTCCAGGCTTTAATTGGTGAATTGCTGAAGACGCTTCATCGTAAAGACAGTTTTGAACCATTCCATCGTTTGGTATTGCAGGGATATTCCAAAGGCTTCGATGATGTTTGATGGTTCTTTAATGTTTACATTTATACATGCACATACAACACAACATAACAAAACACAACACTGTGAAACAAAACACACACATATATGTATAAGTACATAAAATATATATGCATTATATACAATGTGTACAATTTTATGTATAATATACAGCATATACAATATTATATATACTATACAATATAAACATCAAAGGACTGTAAAAACATTATTAAAACTTTGGAACATCACTAATTTGAAACATCAAAATGATTTAAAATTGTCTTTATAATTCTGTAAATTATATTTTTATACATACATACATACATATATTTGAGTGTAGATTCCCCATTATTCTGAATAATTTCCTCCCCTGTCTTTAGGCATCTTCTACCTGTCTAGTAAATGCATACTTAGGTTATGATCCAAGGCTTATAGATCATATATTGTGTTTAATTGGGTTGGCATAGGCCATAAATGTGACTTATTTTTCTTTCACTCTCAGATTAGGCAATCTCTGATTCAGAAATCATGACCTACCCATACTCCTCATGTAGGAGTGACTGTCCTGGCAAGGGTGTCCCATTAGAGCTGCAGTTGGGGAGGCTTGAGCCCCCTTCCCTAGATCCTAAGTGATACCCCTTTCTGCTGCCTCTGGAGCTTGAGGAATGTGGCCCCATTGTAGTAATTGGAGGAGGAGGGGGTTCCCTGGTCCCATTTCTGGGACTTCTGGAGGAGGGGATGGGCTCTTAGTCATAAAGCTCAGGATACATTTTCCCTTTAGATGGAATATTCTCAATGGTATTTGGGGTCCATTGTAATAATAGTATAATAGAATAGTTCAGCCACATTATGGGCCAAATGGGCTTTTGAGACCTGGCTTGAAACCCAGCCACCAAGTATAATAACATTTCAATGGAAAAGTGCATTCTAAGTGCCAAGAACTGACTAACAAATGAGCTTTTGTGAGCCCTGTATCTTGGGGACAGCCTGTGTTTGTGATCTGTTTCCAAGGTAGAGAGAGACCCAATGCCATGGCTTTTGTTTGATTACACACATTTTCCCATCAGGAGCCCAGGGGAACCTAACATTCTTTGGCCTTGCTTTGGGGATTGGGGTGCAAGTTAGGTTGGACCCCCATAGTCCAAGCACAGTGGGCACTGGTTGGCCCCACTTGTGCCTTTAATAGGGCAGCATGTATCTGAGATGCTGGCTAGGATTCTGACCATCTAAGTCAGGGATGGGGAACCCATGGCCTTCTAGGTTCTCGAGTGTGGCCCTCTGACTGAATCCAAACTTCACAGGACAAATTCCCTTCATAAAAGAGCCCCCTCCTCCTCCCGTTCCTACACCTAGCCCAGCAGCAGTTTAAGAGTTCAAGTTGTACAAAACAAATCCTTTTATGAAGGGGATTTGTTCTGTGAAGTTTGGATTCAGTCGGAGGGCCACACTTGAGGACCTAGAGGGCCACCTGTGGCCTCGAGGCCACAAGTTTCCCCCCGATAAGGATTTTATCATGCGTCTCAGCTGTCCCGAGATAGATGGTCATGGATTTAGAGCTGTAAGGGCCTTAGGAGCCATCAAATCGAATGTCATCTCCAGGGAGATGTCCAAGGTGACAGAGCTCATGAGGATCTGAGTCAGGTCTTCCGACTCTAGGTCCAGTGCTCCATCCAGACCACAGCCCCGCCTCCCCCTTCTGTGTGCCGAGACTTTGGGATGATGCTGGTGGCCGAGGAGGCAGGGCAGCTCTAGGACATGCAGGACCTTCCCGTGTATGCTCGGGACCAGTTCATCTCCCTTGGGGAGTGCTAGGACCATCCTCCTCTGCAGAGGTTCTCTAGCCAGGCCAGGCCAAGAGGGGGCCCTGGTTGGCTGTGAGGGATCAGCTAGACGGTAGCCAGGCTGTGGTGTGCTATGGTGGTCTGCACTCCTTCGAACGTGACTTCTGATTCCACACCCCATGCTAATTCCTGTATTCCACCTAATGACCTGCGAACGGTCCAGAGCAGATGCCCTCTTTCCTGGCCCCCGCACCTTTTACGTTGGTGGTAGTGTGGAGGAGAAGCTTCCTTGAAAATCCCCCAGGCTATATGCAGGCATTCCACAGGGACCCACTCACTCCTCTTACCCCTGCTTCCCATTTCTCTTTATTTGGGGTCAGAGAGTGCACAGGATTCCATGTTTCCTTTGAAGTCAGTCCACTCACTTCTCCACAGGGCAGGGAATTAAGCTAATTTGTTGCAAAATGGCCTGTCTAGAAGTTCTTAGAAGTCAGCCACTTTGTCCATTTGGATTAAGTATAATCTTTAATAATCACAGTCTAATGGGATCTCAGAGCTGGAAGGGACCTCCGGGCCCACCTGGTTCAATCTGTACCTAGAATAGAGGGATCTCTTATCCAGGCCATGCCTGCTAACTGGTCACCTGGCTTCTTCTGGAAGACCTCCAAGGGTATAGGAACCAAACGCCTCTAGACAGAGCCCACTTCACTTTGTTTCTGCTTCGGCAATGATATTCACATCTACACCTGCATCTGCACCCACATCTATGTCTACAACAGCCAATAGTCAGCAAACATTTATTAAGCACCTCCTATGTTCCAGGCCCTGTGCCAAGGCTGGGCATACAGTACAAAGACAGACAGACAGCCCCTGCCCTCAAGGAGCTTACAGTCTACTGGGGGAAGGCAACACACAGTAGGAAGGCATAAAGCAGTGGGGAGACAGAGGGGAGAAGATACCCAACTCAGGGGCATGGTAAAGTCAGTTGGAGAAGCCCCGGAGTGATATAACTAGCGGAGAGCAGGGATGTTGGAGGTCACAGCTCCTCTCTCCAGTTAGAGAAGGCAAGGTTGGTGACCAGGTAAAGCCTGAAGGCTGACAAGGTCGTGCCAACAAGGAGCAGTGAGACAGAGAGGAGAGAGAGGCTCTGGTGCCAGACGCAGAAGGACTCAGGCCCTCATCTGTGGGGCTGTGGGCAGCTCGCCTCTGTCTGGGCCTCAGCCACCTCATCTCAGCCTTGTTGCAGTCCCTTTCCTGCCTGACGTGACAGGCTTTCTTCTTGAGAGGCAGTGCAACAGAGGGGACAGAGTGGGCACACCTGAATTCAGTTCCTGCGGGTGACTCTTAGTTGTGTGATTGGGGCTGGGTACTTTCCCTCTCTGGGCTTCTTGTCCCGAAGGAGGGTCGATGTGACAGCCCTGAGCCTAGGTGACACAGTCTTGGGAGTGACTGGCTTGGCTGGACCGCCCTGAGGGGCCCAAGCCCCTGTTCTTTCTCCTAGCCTCAGAGGGGG